GTGTGTGTGTGTGTGTGTGTGTGTGTGTGTGTGTGTGTGTGTGTGTGTGTGTGTGTGTGTCTGCGTGTCTGCATGTGTGCGTGTGTGCCTGTGTGTGTGTGTGTCTGCGTGTCTGCATGTGTCCGTGTCTGCATGTGTGCGTGTGTGTGTGTGTGATCTGAGCCTCTGTGACTTCAGATGTGACATCCGCTCCTGGGAAACATTTTAAATAAAGAAAGTAAGAAAAAGTTTAATGTGAGACGTAGCTACAGACACAGAGCGTGTTAAAAGAGAAACAAACACAAGCCAAAATAAACTGAAAATAAACTTGTTTTCCTCTGTATATGACTGCATTGCTGTTTGATTCTAATAATATAATAACAAAGCAAACAGCCTATGAACATCATCATATGAGTCTAGCTCATAGCATGCTTTCTTTAGCTTTACATTACTAAGCATGTCACACTTTTACTGGGAAATTTTTATAAGTAAACAGTCTTTAATAATTATTTAATTATCGTAATTTAAAAGAGGACATTGAATCTCAGTTACTCTGAAACAAAGTGAAACAACCCTTCAGATACAGTAGAAAGAGAGTAATGTTAAATTCTAGTATTTAAAAACTAGACTTTGAGTTGTGGAAAAGTGCTTCCAAGGTCAAAGTTCAGAGGAAGAAGAAACTGTTCAAAGACTGTTTTATTATTATTATTATTATTATTATTATTACTATTGTTATTATTATTATTATTATTTCCCCCACTACACTTAAAGAAATATGAATTTATATTCAAATGTAAATATTTTCATTGAGCAATTGAAACTAAAGTTTAGTTTAGTTTAGTCTACTAAAATCACTAAAACTAAGAAATAAAAATAAATTCAAACTATATACAAATATTAAAAAGACCTAATGAAAAAGGCAAATAAAATGACTAAAAATCAAACAATTTAAAATGAGAACTGAAAAAAAAAATATATATACAGTATATAATAATAATAATAACAACAACAACAACAACAACTATATATATA